TTTTATTTAATTAAATAATAATTATTAAAATTAATATTTTAATATAAAATGTTTTAGCTTTTCCTCATATAAATGATGATGGAAAGCCTATTGAGTCTAATTTAGTTCATTTATCTTGTAATGTTATTTTTTATCGACTTATACCTACTGATTTAAAAAAGTGACCATTTGTTATTCTTGTTAGTGTTGGTAAATATACACATCCTCCACCTCCATCTAATCATATTCCAGAAGCAATAAAAGATCGACTAAATATAATGATTAATGATGCATCTAGTCAATTAGATTGTATTACACCTCAAAAGATTATTTCAAGTAATATTTTAATTCTTATTTATTTTGTTTTAATATTATATTTATTCTATAATATTAAACTATTTTTTATTTAGGTAATCTTATTCATGTATATTTTGGTACAGATACATTACCAGAAATACATGCTTCATTAAATAATTTAGATCAGCTTCGCTATTTAGTTGGTCGTGCACAACAATTGCAAAATCCATATGGGCAAGGAATTCTTGGCATAGTATATAATTTTTGGAAAAATAAAAATTATATCCAAAATTATATACAAAAAATAAGTAAATTTTAAATTTTAAATTTTTTATTATTTATTAATTTATTTCTAATATAAATTATTAATTTAATAGATTTTTTTAATAATGGTCATATTATGATTCTTTGTATGACCAAAGAACAAGCTATTCGACTTTAAAAAATAACCTATTTTCAAATGGATCTTACTTATAAATTTGTACAAGGAGAAATTAATATGTTTGAACTTAATGAATATGATGAGAATCATCGATTAAGTATGTATATTTTTTTTATATTAATTAATTTTATATTTATTCAAATATTTACTAACATAATTATTAATATACAGCATTAACTTTAGCTAGAGTTTTTACAAATACGTTTGATGCAAATGCATACAAATATATATTTTTAATGATTATTGATACTATAAAAAATTTAACCAATATATCAGTAAAAATTCAGCATATACATAATGAAGATTGGAGCTATATTTTAGGAGATCTTGATTTTGCGCAAGCTAAAGGGCTTGGATTAGCATTATCAAAAATTGATTCAAATAAAAGTTGGTCTGAACATCTTATTTGTATTTTTAAAACCTGCCGATTACACTATAGAAGGTATTTATATTTTATTATTATTTATATATTTATTTATTTATTTATTTAAAATATTAATAAATTTTTAATTTAGAAATGTATTAAATCAAAAATATTCCAATAAAACTAAACATTATATGCAAAGTATATTAACGGCTAAAAGTCAAGATGAAGTTCAAAGTTTATTTAATCAAATTAAAATTTCTAATGAAAATGACATTGAAGGTAAATTTTACTAATAATTAATAAAATAATATATTTATTTGTTCAATAATATATATTTTATTTATTATTTAGATTGGATTGAATTTTATAATCAGCCTTGGGTTTTAGCAAGTTTAAATCATCATTATTCTCAAATAAATATTACAATATGGTGTATCGCAGGTGAAACCACCAATGTTGCAGAATCTGCACATGCTGATATCAATCGTGAAGGAAAAGGATTAAACTTAATCAATGCAATTGAAAAGTAAATTTATATATTTATTTTAATTACAATTTATTAAAATAAATATTAACATTTTTAATAATTTAGAGCACTAAGATTTGATAATCGAAAATTTATAACTTGTACAGTTCAAGATAAATATGGAGTAGCTAAAACTGGTAAAAATAATAGACCTGTAGCAAAAGCTACACAATCAATAAAACGGCATGGTAAATAAAATTTAAATTAAAGTAGTTAAATTATTTTAAAAATGTTTATAATTTTAAATTTTACAGATAAAAAAGAGCATCTAAAAAACAATTAACAAATAAAAAAAGCGTAATAAATCTATTGTTAATGAAGAAGAAGATTCATTAACACTATTAGAACGGCAAATAGCTTTAGAAGAATGGCGATTAGAACTTGAAGAAAGAAAGGAAAAACTTCGAGAAAAAAAACTTTTAAATTATGAAAAAGCACGTGAATTAGGTGTCGAAGAAGAATTAGGGTATGATAGTTAAAAATTATACTATTGTGATATTAACTTCAAAATTGCAATTTTAAATGCGGTTTGATATTTTAATTTTAATAATGCTATAATATTGCGCTTCTTGTTAATTTTTAATGAAATTATAATAAATATGAATAAATGCACTTTAAAAAATTTGTTATTATACCAATACTATATTATAATCATATATACTTTCAAGAAATTGTATAAAATCTTGAAAAAGTCGATCAAAAATTATTATTCTGGTTTAAACTGGTCAATCGAAGCTCTAATAACTTATATACAGTATAATTAATTTTATTTATAAATATATAATCTATATAATAAATATACGAATATATTTTCCTGTATAAAGTTAATTTACAATACACTAAATGTATAAATTTTTATTATATAATATACCAAATGTATAATTTTT